CGCCGGATGGCGTTGCACGGGGAGGTGGCGGCGCAGCGCCGCGAGCTGGGTCGCCTCGTGCGCCAGCTGACCGAGTCGGGCCTGCCGGAGCTAGACGCGTTGCTCGCCAAGCGCGTCAAGCAGCTGTGTCGGCGCAGCGAGCCTCTGGTGGACGCGGCATACGAGCTGTCGCTGCGCCAGCTGCGGCGGCAGCAGGCCGAGGTGCGGCTCTCGGCGCTGCAGCTGATGGACGAGCTGTTCCGCCGCTCGCACCGCTTCCGTCAGCTGCTGGTGGCCGATCTGCAGCAGGTGGTCGACCTCTGCCTGGAGACGGTCGGGCCGCTGCCGCCGCCGCGCGCCGCCGCCCGTCGGCTCTCGGCGGCGGCCGCCGCCGCGCTGCGACATTGGCACCAGACGTACGGCGCCGGCTACAAGAAACTGGACGTCGCTTATCGCTACTTGCAACAGGTGAGGCTGAGGGAACTGAAGACAGGTAGTGGAGGCTGGACTTGGGCAGAGAATTGGCGGAAAGCACGGAGCGATGGTACTGACGCTTCATTTTGCGCAGGCATTTTGAGTATATTTTGCGAGAATGATCAAATTATTCAATGCGTTCTAAGCTGGACATTGCTCACGAGCTAGCAACGTGCTGCTGCCTCAAATTGTGTCCATGGTTTGAGCACATGGCGCGGATATCAGTCAACGGTTACAGATATGTCAGAACCAGTCTTGATTTCATCCCAATCACAGACCAAGGCTAAGTGCTGACTGTTTCCCTTGGGTTGTGTGAAGCCTTCCGCCCTTCTCCATTCTATCATACTCTCAAAACAAAGGTGCGGATGATTTGCGAGGCATCGTTTGCAGTTGCTCACCCCTCGTTCGTCTCACGGCATGCAGCCGCAGCGCGTGAGAGAGATCGGCGCATCGGGCTCTCACCGGGGCCTTGGCCGGTGTCGACCTGACCTACCCGCTGGCGGCAGACCCGGCCAGGAGACCTGGTGTCTCCTGAGGAGCAGCAGGAGGCGGCCCAGCGCGCTGCGGAGGAGCAGGAGCGGCACCTGGAGCGGCTGAAGAGGCTAAAGCTGGAACAGCTGCAGCGTGAGGTGGCCGAGCGGCGTCAGGACATGGTGGATACCATGACGCAGGTGGAGAGCTGCTTCAACCTGCTGCTGGCTGACGAAGACATGCTGGCCGACGAGGACGGGGACGACGGCGAGGAGGACGATGATGGAGAGGAGGAGACGGGCTCAATCGTGGATCAAGTGGACCCGGGGCCTTCGGCCGCTGGGGAAGACTCGGGGCTAGCCACTGCGCGAGAGGACCCGGGGCAGGTCGCCGGCCGGGAAGACTCTGTACAGGGCACCACCAGACCAGACCCGGCGCACGGCAGCGCCGGGCGAGAGGCTGACGCCTCTCGGGCGGCTGGCGCCGACGACTCCTGCGAAACGCTCCCAGCCGACACCGCGCTGGACACGCATCGCCCCGACTCCGACTCCGACTCCGACTCCGGTGCCGCCTCGCCGTCTTACGACCCCGACTGGGCGGAGACGGGCGTGCTGCGCGGGCGGCGGCCGCCCGCCGTCAGCGTGTCCGCCCGGCCGCCGCCGCTGGCCGTCACGGCCGACAACAGCTGTCTGCTGGAGACTCTGCGCGGCCTGTTGGCGGCCGTGCGTCGTGTCCAGCTGCCGACTGTGCAACGCTGGATCCAGCTGGCCAACACCGCCGGCGGTGAGCGAGACGGCGGCGTGCCGGCTGGGCTGGGGCTGGTGACTCCGCTGTGTCTAGCTGTCCGGGCTGTTGACGGGTTTCTCCAAATGGCCACACTAGTCGGTGTGTTTGAAACCTTAATCATCATCACCACCATTTCACTGCACCCATTTTGTAGGGCTCTTGGACGGAATAGCAAAAGTTAGGTGATTTGTGTAGATCGGAGGCTCGGAAAGGCGCTTCAGCGCTAAGGCACTTAGATAAGACCATTTACAGCGTCTTCCCCAACGTCACGGAAACTCACGAAAGAAGCGATAGCAGTGCTACAATGATATGTGATGCACCCCGTTAGTCTGGCACGGCTGCTGTGTGTTGAGCCTGAACCTGCCGCAGGCGATGAGAACACCATCCGCCAGCTGACGGACGTGCGGGAGGCGCTGACGTCGGCCGTGCGCCGGTACGACAGCCTGCAGCTGCGCCTGCCGGCCGGCGGCGCCAGCGGTGCCAGCGACAGCGACGACAGCGACTTCGAGGAAGTGCCAGAGCGGGTTGAGCCCGTCCCCGGAAGCTCCACGGTCCCCGGGCCCTCGGTGGCAGTCTGCGGGACCTCGGCGACGACCCCCCGGACCTCGGCGACGACCCCCCGGACCTCGGCGACAGTCCCCGGGACCTCGGCGACAGTCCCCGGGACCTCGGTGCCCGCCGTCCCCGGCGCCGCTGCCTTGGAAGCGACCGGTGCGGGCTCGAGGGGAACACCAGAGAGACCCAGAAGGGTTCGCGGGCGGCTCGACGCCGCCGCAGACAGCCTTGGAGCTGACGCGGGAGAGCCGGCGAGCGCGCCTGCTGGACGCGGCGCCGCTGCGCGCCTTCAGCGCCGACCTGGTGACCTGGGGCCGCGGCCCGGCGCCGGCCGCCGGCCCGCCCGCCGCCCAGTGTGAAGTGACGCGCGTCTGGCGCGGCAGCTCGGAGCCGGAGCCGCTGGCCGCCGCCGCCGGCGGTGCCGGCGAGCTGAGGCGGGTCGAGTTCGTCGGACAGTTCGAGCCGGTACGACACACGTGCCGCGCGCGCCTGCCCAGCGGCCGGCTGTGTCCGCGCGCCGACCGGCGCAGGTGTCCGCTGCACGGCGTCATCATCCCGCGTGACGACGAGGGAGAGCCGCTCGACGAGGAGGCGCGCAGGAGAGAGCGGGAGCAGCGCGCCCGCGGCGAGGACTGGCAGGTCAGGCGCCGCCCGCGCCGCCGCCGCTGTCGCTCGCTCGTCGGGGCGTGGGGTTCCGGCGCGCGCTGCTGGCGTAGCTGGTGGTGGAATGCTGACCTGCTCGTGCGGTGTTAAGTTTCGGCGAGGTAGGCCTGTTCAGTTACCTGATCCGAATATTGGTGATGTAACGGTCCATATGTGTGTGTGGTGTGTTGTAAGGTCAGTGACCCGCATTTCGTGACCTGGCGTGATGTCCGGCACGTGTCACAAATCTACGTGAGTCGCAGTGGTACATAGATCCGTACCCGCAGAAAATCGCTACTGAGACAAATCGAAATACTCGTCACAATGACACCACCGCTGCATCTTCACGCTCAGTTCCCATGTCCCATCCCCACCACGTGACCTGACCGGTGCTGCGGCAGGACCCGAAGCTGCTGGCCGAGCTGCGCGCCGCCACCGGTCTGGACCTGCGCGTGCGCGGCGGGCGGCGGCGCGGCGCCGGCGCCGGCCCCGGCCTGACGGACGTGCGCCGTCCACTGACGGCCCGTCAGCGGCTGGCGCACAAGCTGTTCAACGGGCGCGCGGCGCGCCGGCTGGCGGCCGCGCTCGACCGGCTGGACGGCAGCCGCCACGCGGACAAGTTCGGCGACCAGTTCAACTACCAGGTGACTGGCCGCTGAGCCGGCTGGCCAGCGGCGGCGACAGCTGACGGGTCCTGGGGCGGGTCGCAGCGCGGCCGGATGCGGCGGCGCCTCTAGCGGTTTGGAGTAGGATGGCTTTAAGCTCGTGCCGCGAGGGAGCTGCGCGCTCTGATGTCGACTGTCGACGCGCCGTCTCGGAGCAGGCGGCCATGTCGCCCGTGGCAGGCTTGTGACGACGCCGCGTTGGCAGGCTGCTGGCTTGTCTAATGCGGCGGAGGGAAGCGAAAGCGAAGTGTAAGAACAGCTGGTGCGGTTTTTGTGACTTGAGTTGTGATGATAATGGCCAGATCGGGTGGTGATTATGCTTGAACGTGTCAGTGTGGTGTTCGTCTGCGCGCCGTGACGCTGTAAAGGGTACGTTCGTTCTCCGGGTGGGACGTTGCTCGGTGACGAATGTTGCATTGTGATATTCGTGACACTCGCACCCGATGTTATCAGCGAAATATAGCATTATCCATACATTACTCTCTCAATGACTCCAGGACGTGGTTAAGTAGAAGTGACGCTGGCATCATAACTCCCATATCGTCTCCAAAGACGCATCACTGTCCTCGGCATGTGCCTGGATGGCGGATCGCATTTAGGGCCATTGTTGGGAGGAGACCAGGCCGGAGATGGGTGAGCACTGATTTTGTGAAAAGGGTCAAGGGAATCTTGTGTTAAAGGTACGTTTCCTACAAGCTTAACGGAAGTACTTTAACGCAGTTCAGTACGTGCATTTGACGTCGTCTAAGTAAGTAATGAGCTTTTAAAGTAAGTCACGTCACCTGCCGTGAACCCGCCCTGAAGGCAAATAAATAGAAACTATTTATTCCGCAAGCAAACATCTGATTTGATCGTCCGAAGAACCCATAGCTAAGAATTCGTGCCGGATCGACGGTACATTGTAATGGCCACGCATTGCGTTGCGTTCAATCCACTTCCATACAGACATTTCGCTGCTGTTAAATCGCCCGCCTTGAGTCGCACCAGTCATTCGGAATCCACTGCTGGCAGCCTGGCATTTTTCGTGCATTCTAGCTGAACTCTCACGTGGTGAACTAGGTTCTAACGTTTGGCTAACCAGTCGTTCGTGCACGCATGCAGCTTGGGTTGGCTAAAAGCTGTTGTTTAAATGATAAATTTTCACGGGCCTGTCTCGTTACTCAAATGTTTCGCGCATTCCAGCAAAGAGCGTTCTGGAACCCGCGGAATCAGGCTTCAAACATGCGAGCTGAAGAGGCTGGGGGGATCATAATTGGTACCAGGGAAAGGCTCGCTCACTGCACGCACACCGCGTTGGCTGAAGCGCGCTCTGCTTGCATATCGTCGCTGCGTTTCAGTTTTCAGTTTCGGATATCGCTCCTCTGACGGACACATCCGCGGTGCCGCTGTCTCCCGTCGCCCGAGGCTCGCCTGGCGCCGCCGCCTGCGTCACACAGGCCTCCCCGTCACCACCTGGCGCCCGGGTGATGATGACTGGTCGCGCAGGCGACGCCGGCTGCCAGACGCAGTCCGCCTCACGTCGGCGTGTCGTTCGGCGCCCGCGGAGCTCGCTGCGGTGCTCCGCGCCGGCTCTTCGACCCCCGGTCACGTGGCCACCTTCACCTGCCGCCGCGCCTGTGGGGAGCACGGGCCGCCCACTGGGACGGCGGGTCGGGTCCCCTGCCAGGCCATTGAACCGGTCGTCCCCACGCACGTACGCCGGCCGCCAGGCTCAGGCCCATCGGCACGCGACCGGGCTGGCTCGCCGGCGGGCCTACATCACCAGACAGCCCTCCGACGACGACACGCGCCAGCACAGCTTACAAATCGTTGTATTAAGTCACGGACAACGGCCTGGGCCTGCGCTATCATCCGTTACGGTTTGATGGGCGCCGTGCGGCTCGCATGCGAGACAAGGCCTCGTCGGATGCCTTACTCGACTGACATCGCGCCACGCAAGGTATCAGGTATGTCAATATCACGGGAATAATGCAGAAGATCACATAAAGCGCTCGAAGCGACTAACAAACATGAGTGCTACTGAGAGCCCTAAAGGGCAAAAAATTCTAACAGCGTTGGCAATCACCGACATTTGTGCACTGGTTGCATAGCAGCGTTGTTAACAGCACACCACGCGCAGCGTTGTCCGTCACACGAGAAAGCTCAAAGTGGTGACTGGCATATCTCCCCCACTGACTAGTAGCCGTCATTGGCCGACACGTTCCCATCAGCTCTCCCTAATCACGTATACCCAGTTTCACGGGCCTCGCACCATCAGAACGGCGCGAACATCCGGTTCGGTTGCCCAGCCGCTGCTCGTTGTTGCTCGTGTCTGCGCACCAGTCCGCTGGCTTATAAAGCGCGATATTTCTCGGATCTTGCCAGGTTACGTCGTGGCGCCAAAAATGGCGTCTGCGTCGATGATAGCTCACACCTTGTTTCAGCAAGGATTTTGGCCATTCAGCGCATAGACCTCAGTGTGACGTACCCGGGTGATGCGGGCTGCACACTTGCCATCAGTTTGACGTACGCGGGTGATGCGGGCTGCACACTTGCCATCAGTGTGACGTACGCGGGTGATGCGGGCTGCACACTTGCCGTCAGTATGACGTAGCCGGGTGATGCGGGCTGCACACCTGCCGTCCGTTGTCCTCAAAATGAACGGTATCAAGGTAACCTTTCGCGTATCTGACAGTGCATGAATCGTCAGAGGCTGTCTAGAATGCAGCCTTGTCGTATAATTACGACCAAATTGGCTTATGTCGCACACTTCATGTCCATACCATGAGTTTGGTCTCACCTCCGCTGGGCAACCCGCTACTCTAATCATGCCAGCCTCACGGGCAAGGAGCTTCTCGCGTGGGAATGACGTCACGGGCGCGGAAATCCTCACGTGGGACTGACGCCACGAGCGCGGAGCTCCTCACGTGGGAGTGACGTCACGGGCGCGGAGTTCTTCACGTGTGACACGTCACTGACGCGGAGCTCCTCACGTGGGAATGACGTCACGGGCGCGGAGTTCTTCACGTGTGACTGACGTCACAGACGCGGAGCTCCTCACGTGGGAATGACGTCACGGGCGCGGAGCTCTTCACGTGGGACTGGCGTCCCGCTGCTCGGCCAGCACCATCAGCACCTGCTGCATGCGCTCGGCCAGCTCGCCGCGACGCTGGTGCTGGTCGGCACGCGCCGCGCGGCTGCCCAGCAGCCAGCACAGATGGAACTCCGTGCGGAACATGTCGTCCCGCGCGCCGGCACCGTCTGGTGGCGGGCGGACGGCGCGGGCGGCACGCGCGCTGCGCCGGTACGCGGCCGCCTCGGCTGCCATCTGACGGCCGGCGGAGAGCTGCAGCAGCGCCATCTCCAGCTGGTCGGTGGTGGCCGGCGCCAGCGCCTCCTCCAGCAGCGCTGCCAGCGGCGCCAGATGGGGCAAACACGTGTTCGGCGCCTCGGCGTTGGATCCATCGTTCATGCTGCGCAGACAGGGCCGCAGCTGCGCATCGAACTCGACGGCAGCGGCCGTGAAGCGTTGCCGCGCACGGTGCCACGTGACGTACAGCCTCTGGACCTGACAACCAGAGGACAGACCCAATGTCAGAGGCAGCATTAAGAGCGAAGAGTTGCTGTCACAACAGGCGTTACCAGCATGAAAAGCAAAATACGAACAAAAGGATTTAGCACTGATAGCTGTCACACCGAGTGCATTTACTAGATCATGACCAGAATCTCAGTCGTTTCACTGACTGTAACGCAGCAGTCTCGAAACTCAGTCCATTGCTCGCTGCGACAAGGAATGGCAGGCCCGCTTGACATGGAGTCCAGCTGTTTGTAGTGTATGGCAGACCAGGTGTGGGACTTACGACGGAACGAGTGCTAGACAAAGCGCCACGGGCTACACGTCCGGGCATTACGACTAAAGCGTCATGGCGACAAGCGCGGTTCACCAGAAGGATCGCGCTTTTGATCGGCGTGGTGCCTTCGCAGTTTGGTTTTGATTCCAAGCAGTTTTGTTCACCTGGCGAGAGCAGAGCCCTTTTATGATGCTGGCAAAGCCGTACAGGTTTCCAAGGGCTGTCTTGGTCTCGATCGCCACGTTGATCCACTTATTGATCATCTGCACCCGCTCGTCTTCGTCCTCTTGGCTGACAATGGTGGCGATCACGAAGGCCGAAAACCATTCGGATCTGCGGGTGGAGAAGACATGCATTAGGAGCACTTCCATATCCTCAGCTCCAGGCGAATGCATATTCGCCGAAAAAAACGCCTCTAAACTGTTTGCTGAAACAAATTGTGTGTGACGCGCGATGTCGCCAGACCAAGCTGCGTTGGGTGTTCTGGATATCTTGCCACAACGGTGGAGACAGAGCGCAGGTCGCACATCGGACCACCACAACTATGTCCCTAGCGGTGTACCCCACACCCAGAAAAGTGTCACATCGTTTGGGCGCTGGGCGGCATCCCTCACCTCTCCAGCAGGTCCTGTCGCAGCTGCTGACCCTGGGGCAGCGTGACCAGCTCGATGCCCGAGACGACGCCCAGCCCGAGGTCTTCCTCCCCGTCGTCCAGCAGCCGCAGGTCCCACCAGGTCAGGTGGGCGGCCAACACGCGCGCCGGCGCCTCCAGCAGCTCCAGGGTGACGCCCTTCAGCGCTGTGGCGTCCAGCGGCGCGTTGTGTGTCACCGGAAGCAGCAGCGTCTCGAACGCGTCAACGTCAAACGCCGACGGTGGCGCCACCTCGACAGGCCGCAGCGGCGCCGGCTCTGCCCGCGACTCCCGCTCCGGCTCCGGCTCCGGCGCATGCGCCGAGTCGCCCGAGCCGTGGCCCGAGTCGGAGCCGGGGTCGGCCGGCTCGGGGATCTCGGCGTAGACGCGCTGCTCGCGCCGCAGGGGCTTGGGCGGCGGCGAGGCGGCGCCGGGGCCGCGCAGCCGGCCCGGCTGGGAGTAAAGCGGAGCGTCGGCCGACGCCAGGCGCGGCAGTGAGCCGCTGTGGCCGCCGCCGCCGAGCCGGCGCGCCGCCGTCAGCTGCTCGACGCTGCTGACGCGCTGGTGGCGGCCCAACAGCGTGCGCCTCCAGCTGAGGTGGGCTGAGCCAGGCCGGCTGGCCGGGGCGGCGCCGATCGGCACGGTGCGCGTGATGGGCCGGCGCAGGCGCGCGCCCGACGCGGCCGACACGGCCCGCTCGACGCCCACGTAGCTGGTGATGAGGTGCGGGATCGTCTCGTACGGCTCGTCCTCCAGGAAGAACTGCTCGGTCTCGTAGATGGTGTCGGGGTTCACGCGCACCTGGGGGGAAGTCGCACGCTCGGTTCAGGTCTCTGCACTGCTGGAGGGGAGGGACACATGACGTCTTGAATCGAGTCAGCCAGCCTTGCACGGTACGGTGTGGCGAGAAGCCAGTCGGCGCTCACAATTGATCACAATCATCATCACGGACTTTGCTGCTGCATTCGCACAGCGAATAAACAAGCAACTCATCGCATCGTTGATTAAGCAGCTTTCCAAACAGCCGCGACAGGTCAGAAAATGAAATTGTTCACGCGCTGACGGAGTTATTCACAGTCATTGCCCGTCGACAGCAATGCGGAAGCTCGAATGCCGGTAACAGCTCGCGGTGGAGTTTGGGAGGCGCTGCGTCCTCACAGGATCGGCACAAACTGGGCATCGTAGTGGTAGCAGGCTGTCGCTCCGCAACGGAAGAGCACAGTGGCGCATCCCTCACCTTATTGATCATGAAGTGGACGCTTGTGCCGCTCCAGCGGCAGCTCAGGGCAAACTCCCCCGGCTGGGAGGTGCTCTCGCGCACCAAGAAGTCTCCGTCCTCGCTGAGCAGGGACTCGGCTTCGAGCCGACCGACGCGGCCGTGGTACCTGGAGAGCCCGTCGTTAGATCCAGCTGTGCAGCGAAGCATCGGAGCTTAGTGCGCCCAGCTGCCAGACTGGCCAGCCCGGTCGGTCGAGGGCACCTGACAGCTGGGCGGCACGCTGTAATGCTTTCAAACTAATGCAGACCATGTTTGTGCATACACGGAGGACCAATATCATTCAGCAAAACGGGCATGAAAAACCATGGGTAGCCGACGTAACGGGCATACTGGCGTACCGGCGATTGGTGGTGGACTCACAGGGGTACCTCCCGTCTCCAGCGCCCTGCCTTAGTTCTCTGCATGGTCAGCACGCGGACGCTTCATCCCCAGGAGGAGGGTACAGTCTTCAGCGCCACGCCTCTGTCCCCTCACAAGCGCCAGGACTGTGAGGTTACAGGGGCTCTTTCGTTTTCCGAGCACCACGCCTGTGCCCCTGACCAGCGTGACAGTGAACACTTCATCCTTCAATGGCCTTCTTCGACCCCAATATCATGCTTAGACGCCTCCCCACCAATCGTGCGAAATGCGGACCCTCCTAGATCCCTCGCTTCCCCGGCACCCCTCCTCTATCGCTCACCAGGCGTGCGAGCGCAGGTCGGCGCTGTCCAGGCTCAGCTCCCACTCGAGAGACCGCGGGCCGTCGATGGAGGCCTCGGCCGGCTGGCCGCCGCCGCCGCCGCCGCCGCCGCCGCTGCCGCCGTCTCCGCTCGGCGCGCTCGCTCGCGCCGCCGCGCCGCCCTCGGTCCGGGCCGGCAGCTGCCGGCGACACGGGGCGCAGCTGGTGACGCAGTCGCCGACGCGGCCGAGCAGCGCGCGTCCACATGCGTCACTCCGCGGTGTGAAACGGTGAAGCTGGCGGATGTTTGTCACCGGTAGCAGATTGATCGTGGACGCTGTGCCATTGCCGTTTGCACTTTGGCCTCGGCGGAAAACGTCACGGAAATCGTCGACGGAGGTAGGTTGGACGCAGGGTGCACCGATGGCTGCGGAGAACCAGCGCTCAAGGGCTACGTTACGAGCTCGCTCCCAGCGCTCGTGCAGACAGAGCGCTGATATGGAGGCCTCAATACCATTACGCTTTTAAAGGTGTAAATCAGGAGCCAACGGGAAATGTCGTTCTGGTGTCAGCACACGGCGGACCCCAGGTATACGGGCTTGTCGGTAGCGAATACGGAATGGCAAGACTGAACGGGGCTGCATCACTGATCACACCACATTCTCTGTTCACTTCAACCCCGGAAAACTGAGGTCTTCTTGGTTGACATGCTTAATTTAGTTCGTACGCGTCCCAATTTGCCCCGAAAAGTGAACATCTGTTTGCTGAGGGAATGGGGCATCGGAGGGTCCCGACAAGTGTGAAGGGCAAGCTCACATTGCATGCTATTCTTTCCGTATAGTTTCAAACAGTAGATAGCAAGTTTGAGACTTAATCAAAACAGTGGGACATGGGTCTCTCGGTCCTTTGTTCCTACGTCTACCCTCGATTGGAAAATGTCCATTTTCGTAACTACTAATGGTCCCTCATGCTGTACAAAACGGCAGCGCACACCTCTGCACCGCAACCCGCGTGACCGCCGACGCCTGCCACGGCCCTGGTCGCTCGGCACACTCGCTCGAGAGCTCCGTACACAGCCGAGAACGATCCCACCCGACCGGCCGGGAGCGAGCGCCGGAGCGCGCCCTGGCGCAGCCGCCGCCGGTCCGATCCACCGCATCAACACGCGGTCCAATCCACCCGCCAGCTCACGGCCAGCCACGGTCCGACGCCCCCAGCCGCGAGTCAGCCTGTACTCACCATGTTTGCGGAGCGCACCGTTCTCGTGACGCGCGCTGCGGGACGCGCGAGACGTGTCGACGGCGTCCGCTCGCCGCCGCCCTGCTGCGCCGGCCGGCGCGCCGCGCCGCGCTGATACCCGCCGTGTGTCGTCACTAATCAATGGATGACGTCACAACGCTGGGGCGGCTGGGAGCGGCCGGCGCCCCCGGGCTGACCGTGCCATGAAATTGCACGTGGCAGCATAAACAGGGCTGGGAAGGGGGAGGGGAGACCGTGGGCTCGGCGACGAGCTGTAAACAGTTCGTGCAGCTCGCGGGGTTGGCCTGCAAAAATGTCCACCGGCCGCAGTGCAGGCTCGATTCCGTGTGTGTGCCGTGTTGCCCATGCTGATTAGTGTGCCCACGTGGGAGACCACATACTCGTGTGTTTTTAAGTATCGTGTCTATGCTGCCTGGAGCTCAGCCGATGCAAATGGCGGACATTTGCTGCAAGACGTGAATGCAGCCAACCGAAATATGGCGACTTGCCTCAGACGACCTTGAACATCTCACCATTTACCACACTTAGCACGTCTTAGCACTTGAACATCAGGGTTTCGTACCTGAGCAAATGCACAGAAATGTTTGACTGAGTTTGTGTAATTTTCTACTTTTTATGATAAAGTGACCTGATTGCGATGACGACATGAGGAAAATGGACGAGTTTGGTTCTGTATTAGGGCTCTGAATTGTGTTCTAATGTTGTCATATTTTTCCAAAGTCGCTTTACCTATCATTTAATCCACCTGCAACGAATAAGGGTAAAGGAAAAAGCTCCTCAACAACGGGTCGATAGCCAGTGCTCGAATGGTGTCAGATAGTGGCAAGAGAAAGTCGAAAGGTCAATACCGACATTATTTTTTTTTTTAAATTTCGTCGTTAAGATTGAGTCCAAACCTTTTGAATGGGTGGATTTCCGAGATCACAGCCCATGTCTAGCAGTGCTTGCGTGAGATCTGACTCCCACCATCTGATCGTGCAATTTCAGGCCAACGGCAGAACTTAGTGGCGGATGTTTAACGTGTCGCAATGACGACAGGCTAACTTTGCTAAGGTTGCGCTAAGTGGAGGGTATTTTCCCTTTTATCATGACCCATTTTTTGTATAGTATCGATATTTCCTAAAACAAAACGTAAACACAGGGATGTCAGTTCAAAAATCGGTTAGGGGTTCAGCCGAAAAAGTTAACTTTCCCAAACTTGATTTTTCCCCGGAATTTGGCTACCTCAGTTCGCCTCCGCGATGTCAAAATAAGAAATTTTAAATGTGGGAATTTACGTTATTTTGCCGCGGAGGAATCACTTTCCATTCCAAGTGAGTGTGAGCTGCTTTTTGTGAAAAGCTTAGAATGGGATTACAAATTAGAAAGCTTAGAAAGTGACAGAAAAACATCTTGGTAAATCTTATTGAGGGAGCAATAATGTTAACCGCCGTCACTGGTCGTGTTGTCTAACCACCACAGTTGCGATCATGCCACACACAAGTCCAGCTCCAACTACACGTGTTACACCTCCAGAAAACAGCTTCATCGAAAGCCGGCCACGTGGCCCGGCTTAGCGGCCGTTCGGTGGCAGTCGCGTCCGCCTGATATCGGAAGGTGGCGGCCGGGCCGGCGTCAGCCCGCGCGGGCCACCCGGACCGCGTCTCGCGATAGCGCGCGGTCATTGTCCGCTTGACGACGTCCTCCCGACCGCAGACATCCCCCCGACCGACCGATCGCAGACATCGACATTCCCCGACGACATCCTCCCGACTAGAGCCCGCAGCGCGCCCCAGCCAGTGACTCAGAGTGTGCCGCGTCATACCCGCCAACAGATGGACTCAATCTTATGCCTTCGCTCGATCGTCATCGTTTTGTCAGTAGCGAAACTGAGGCTGTTGATGGAGAGCTTCGCCTCCTCGTGCGTCACAAGTAACAAACATCGCTGCGGCGAGCGCTGCGGAGCCTTTGCGGTGAAGCGGCATCTCATGTCTGACCGCAGTGCCGGACGCGCTGCCAGCCAGGTGCTTCAGTCCACACAGACCAAGCGACCCGGCTGCTTCAGGCGGTTACTGCTTCTCCCGTGCCGTGGAGAGTCAGGAAAGCGCGGCACCTCAGGGTGTCGAGTGGACGATTGTAGCGGCGATCTTGTCGCGGGTTCTATGACCGCGCAGCAGGTACTACGTTGGTCGCACGCGCGTGTGGGGCTTGTTTGTGGGCGTGCGTTGTGCGTTAATGCGAACCTCGTGTGGACCGCTTAAAGCCGCAGTCCATCGATTACGACCGTCACATGCAGGTGTGTATTTCGTATTAAAATACAACATGCGCTGGTCCGCGTTTAGACTGTTTCTTTCACGTCAAACGAGATTACGCCGCATGAATCATGAAGTGGCATTATTACAAGCGGCGTAATGAAGTGGCGTTGTAACACGATAGGGTGGACACCTCAGTGGCCGACTGGCAACAACATCCTTTCACACGATCTGAGGTACACTCAACGCCCGAGTGTGACCAGACGCGTCCTCCACGACCGCGGCCGCGTCCTGAGACACCACCTTAAATCGGGTGCTCCAGTGACCATCGACTCAGTTTGTACTTCGTCTATCCGATGGGTTTTTGAGCCAGCATATTCTCTGAGCACATCCGAGGAAACTGAACTCCTGCCATCAAGATGTCGCAGACGGGCTGAAAGAAGCCACGATGAGGTCAGGTACGAACAAACACCCGCAAAGTTTGCGGATGATAGGCTTCCTAATGAGGGTGGAAGCTTTTGGTATAAAAAGCGGAAGTGCGCATGAATAAAGGCGTGAGCTATAATCAAACGTAGCGTGCTATACTCGTGGCATAAAGATGGGGATGCCCTTGCTGTCCTATCCATCTGTACTGCCTTTGGATGAATTCCATTTTATGTTTTCAGGAATTGACCGAGCATAGTTTGGCATAAGGAGAACCTTAATCATGACATTCGTGACTCAGTACGGAAAATCTAGAAGGCAACTTCGCTTCAGGATATCATGTTTTACCATACATATCACTGACCGTGGAATGTCATAGGTTGCCGGCTTGTACGCGTACGACTATGGTGTCGACGGACAGCACACGCTCTCTCGGCATGAGATAGACTTCCCTCTCCCATCTCCTCAACAGGTGCCGCTAGCATCGCGGCGCTGCCATATCTCTTACCTTGAGGCCTTCGATGCACGGCACGAAGATGGAGAAGAGGATGTACCAGGCAGCGCAGAATCCCGCTATCCAGAAGCTGATGAGCAGCAGGATGATGAGCCAGACGATGCTCCAGATGGCGCCGCCGCCGTCGTCGCCACCGGCGCCCGCGCCCATCCCCTCGCCTGAGCCCTCTCCCCTAGCCATCTGACCGGTCGCAGGGGTACAGTCAGCGGAGCTAGGAGGTACAGCGGCAGCGGTGGCACTCAGATGAGCAGCAGGATTGGCTCGTGACGTGAAATGCCACGGGGTTCTCCGCGAGGGTCTGTTCTTGTCGTTTCTGAACCATGGCCGTTGGTCGTTAGATATCATAACGTCAAACAGAGAACAGACAACAAAAAAGTGGATGTACCTGAGAACATGCGCTAAATTAGAACTCGAAGAAATCGCACTAAACAGGAAAGTTCTCAGAGTACCGATCAGGGAACCACTTATTTCATGTAAACGATTAAAAACGTAGCGGGAATTTGGTAACGCAACTAAGGAAACTGGGGCCCAAAGAATAAAACGAATAGGGATTTCCCACGTGTGCCGTTCTTTTACTGGAACGCTCTATGCGCCAAAAGAGCTTCTCACAGATGCTGTTTGCCAAACAGGTTCACGCTCCGTGGAAGAGCGGACGGCACCCCAGTGGCCTGGGTGGGGGTGAATTCTCACCTGTGACGTCGGTGGAGTGAAGCTGCGTCAGCTGCGGAGTGGACGCTGTGTGCCTCGCGGCGGGACGGACTCCACAGCGGGCGGCTGCCGTGCGTATTCGCCGCGTTTCCCTCAGGAGCCGGGCCACGCCCGCGCGCCATATCGCCACGGCTGCTATCAGCGCCGATACCGAGAGCTGGGCGCCCCGCTATCGGACCAGCACCGAGGGCACACTTCTGGGACCGTCCCGTCCCGCTATCGGACCAGCACCGACACCCATGGCACACTTCCGGACTGGGCGGCGTGGTGCGATGCCCGGGAAGATCAGCTTCCGGCGTCCCCTGAAGAGGGTCTATTGGGGGCTAGGAAAGACTAGAGGCACCTAATGATCAAACGGAGGGAGTATCACAGCTTTGAAAAAGTCGCTTCATAGCATGACTACATAGCGTGACGCTGGGAAACAAGTTCCACGGAGAGTATGGCACCTCCCATGACCGTGCATCACAGTGTGGGCAAGACGCTTCCATCGCTCCGTAGCCTCGACGACGGCCGTCGACATATGTGATCTTAGATGACGTTTGACACATCCGGCAACAGAATCACCATCGTGCGTCAGATCGGAGCGATGCGTGTTCGCAGCTGCAGGAACCAGTCCAATCAGAGAAGCCCGTGATAAGGGGTGGTGACTCGCATCTCACTCCCCGCCCACCGAGCACGTGACCGCGGCTCGGGCGGGCACCACGGCTGCCGGTCAGCACAGCAGCCGTCGTTATCCGCCGACCATTCTACGGGCGCTGCTGATGACGCGATAATGTTCTGCTGTTCTTTGGCGCGCCATGCCATACTCGCCTCGAACTGCACCCACAGCGTGACAGCGCCTTCCGTGTTCCCCGGAGAGGAGTGTATGTAGATAATCCCGACTATGCACCATCCAAGCAGCTCTCCCCCGCTCATGCAAGTCCACCGCGTGATCATGCACTTTAAGACTTCCGGGCCATAGTCGGGTTACAGGCGACGCCCGTGCCTCTTAGTCCGGGCAGTGTCAATGACCGCTTTTCGTGCACCTGTTCCGCAATAAAAACAAGTTTGCATCTTTTGCCGAGTGAGCATTTTACCAAGATGTTGAAGGCAGCAACATGAGCACCTAGCGAGTTTCCGCGGCAGAGCTAATTGTCCACGAACAGCGAGTGCCTTCGGAACAGGTTCCTCTGGCCGCCGTCATACGACCACAAGCGTCCCGCCTGCGCCAGATCCGCCGGCTTTCGCGCGCCGCTTCTCGCGCCGCCCTCGTCCGACGGGCGGCCGCCCGGTTTGGCGCGCCACAATCGAAAGTCCGTCGCTTCACCGCAAAGCTCCGCGCGGGCCGGGCGAAACTCGAGGTCGAAGGAGGTCGACCGGGCCGGGGGGCCGGGGCCGGAGCCAGCAGCGGCCCAGGCCGGCGCGGGGCCGGCGGGGCCGGTGGGACCGGTGGGACCGGTGGGACCCGCGAGCGTCCGGCCCCTCTGTGGAGCTGCCGCCGGCCCAGCCAGCCGGACGCAGACGACGGTCGGACGCCGGAGCGCGTGAGGAGGCAGGTGGAGCGCCGCCGAGCCGCCCCGGAACGGAGGGGAGGCAGGCGGGACAAGCCGGGGGCCAGGCGGGACAAGCCGGGAAACGTGCCCAACTTCGGCCATGGGATTTCGAGTGAGTATCGCTTTCTCAAGCCCGGGAGTGTTTTGAATGGGACCACCGCTGACATAAAAATTCACGTATTTTCTTTAAGTCATTCTGTTCTGCATCAAAAGAGCAGTCAACGACAACGCGTGGCAATCTTTTCTGTACGGTCATGCAAAAAGCTGTGTTTCATGGCCGTGCAGCACGTCCACGTGAAGTAGTGTTAGGACAAACCTGTCTTCATCTAGCAAGGGTCCGGTGCAGTTTGATTAGATGTAATAGGCATGTGATTTAAACCGTGCTTGTTAAACCAGCGTAGTACGTGGGAAAACGAAGGTGTCAACGAATATAATTTACCCACTTGTTCCGTGCCTTTTCCCATGTATGTATTATGACGCGTCAAAAATGCTCAGATCACTATTTGCTTTTGCGTGACGGTGGCACTGGCAGAATTTGCTGACAAAGCTGTGCCAAAAGTGTGATATGGAAACATCAGTAATGCAGGGGTCCCGATTTATGGAGGGGAGGCTAATTTGGTGTTGCCCGTATTTTGCCCATGTGTGCGGCATAGTTCCAAGTAAAAACTGCGCTTTGTCATTTAGTAACCAGTTTGTCCAATAGACATGTAAATAAATATTTTGTCGTCAGTTTTACTCATGCGAATTCGATCACCAGAACAAATACCGAGGATGATTAATTCGACAATATAATCTACCTGAAACATTGTTCGAACGCATCGTAAAGCATACGGAATCGGTTTCCCTTGTTTGAAATAGTCGGCACGGCATGAAAAATATGGTTCCACCTTCATTCAGTTTGATAATTCCATCCGGTGACAACTCGCTGTCTAAGGCAGCACACAGCAACATTTATCTAACGAGAAGGAAGGATAGAAGTGTAGGCTGTAGACTGCCTGATATTATACCGCATTCAGGACGGTCGCCGGTGCGGTCCGGTGGTCTGACGGTCCGCTGCTGTCTTCCTTTCCGTTCTGACCCTGCTGCCCCCCCCCCCCCCCGCGCAGGCAGCTGCGGCTCCCCTCGTGGTGGTGCTGCTGGTCGCCACGCTGGTCTCGGCCGCACCGTCAGCCCCGCAGAACTTGCCGGGAAGGACCCCACCGGCCGGGCACAGCAGGGACAGGACTCCACCGTCCGGGCACAGCAAGGACAGGTAACGGCCGCACTGTGCGTATTACCCAGTAGCTGCACTGGTGGGGTCCCGGGAGCAGCGGAATGGGCGCTGCTCCGCTTCGTGTATCTCCGGACTCGTAGTGCATGCAGAGATGGACGCATGTGCAAGGGCAGACAACCCATAGCCAGGGAAGAAGCTTGGACACAGTATTGAGAGAGTTGCAGTCCACCACAGGTTACGAACTTTTGCTTCTGTCTCAACTCTGTCCAGCTTGGATAGCCTGTGCGCGCCGAGCGATGGTGCAATGCCTAAAGACGCGCACATGGGGGCTGTCCACGCCGGCAACCGTGCCAGCCCTCGCTTTCCGTCCGCAATGAATCTGGATTAACCCGTCTGATGGGTGGGATGGGGTCGTGCCTCGGAATTTTAGTCAGATGTTCCCGTTTTCCAGCCCGCCAGAAGCTGACCTTATTTCACCGGGCCATCAGCCTCACGCTCGGTTGGGCATCCTAGTCAGAAAGACGGGATGCGAATGCTTTTTGTTCGTTAGTTTTTACGGCATACGCTTTAGAAAAGCTTGCGTCATAAAATTGGCATAAAATACGCGTATTGCAGTCACGTTTCGTCTTATCACGCTTATTACATCCTGAACGTAAGAAGGGCTTTGCAAATTGCTGAGTAGTTCTGTAAAACTGGTTTGTTGCCGCATTTCTAAGCAAGAATGCAGTAAATCTCACCCATTGTGTTTCTCTAACCTAGAATGGATCCAAGGCATTCGGCCTTTCACCCTGTGATATAAGGTGCTAGCGACCGATGACTTCATATATCTTTCTTACGTCACCGGCCTAGTTGCCGTCACTGGTCGCGACGTCCCTGAAGCGTATTATGTTTTTTTTTTTTTACAAGAATGGGACGGTAATTGGGAAACTCTGTGTACTGGAATGGCCCGGGTATAGTCGTATTGCTGACAGCTGATTTTAAGACGCCCACAGATCCTAGAAATGCATGAAAATTTTGGTGTGAATTGCAATGCAACGTGCAAGCTGGCTCACCTTTCTACGCCAGCCTTCTGGAAACCAGCCGTCAACTGATGTCTGCACGTAACCGCCGCTGAATTCGTCCTCTGCGTTCCAGCGCGCCGGCTCTGAGCGCGGCTGTGGGCCTAAGCCCCGGGACCGGCCCCGTGCGTCGCTCCATCCCAGCCGTGATCGGTGGGCGCGGCTCGGTGGCGGCGGCGCGCACCACAAGCTCCGGTGCGGAAGGCGCTGGCGCCGGGCCGCCCGCCTCGGCCGAGTACACCGAGGACCCGGACCGGCCCGGCCGCTTCTGGTTCCGGTTCGAGCTGGAGGACGCCGTGACGCCGCCACCGGACGGGCGGACTCCTCCGCGGGCGGGAGCTGCGCAGCGGCCCAGCAGCCATGGTCGGATTCAGGCAGGACACCTGCAGACCAGCGCGCACGGCGGCGGTCAGACCCAAACGGGGGACCTGCAGACCAGCGCGCACGGCGGCGGTCAGGCCCGAACGGAGAACCTGCAGACCAGCGCGCACGGCGGTCAGACCCAGACGGGACACCTGCAGACCGAGGCGCACGGCGGCGGTCGGACCCGAACGGGGAACCTGCAGACCAGCGCGCGCGTTGCGGCAGGGACGGCGCGGGTCGACGCGGCACCGAGCCGGGTGAAGGGTCCCACGCCTGAGAAGGCGGGCAGCGCCGCGCACATACTTCAAGTCGCAGTTCCCTCACAGCGGGCACCTGTTGCGCAGCGGCTAAAACATACAGGTGCTGCTGGGAACAAAGGCGAGCCCAGTGAACCTAGGACGTCAGAAGCGAAACAGCAGCGGCTAAAAGACCCAGCTGCTGGGCAAACCAGGCGTCAGCTAAAAAGGCTGCCGAGTGTAACTCCCCTCCCGGCTAAAGCAAAGCGCCCGAATTTCAGCGGCCTTCGAAGTGCGCAAGGTCATGCCAGTCCAGAACGCTTGGTAGGCGCGCAGACTGTGCACAGCACGCTTCGTTTCAGCGAGGCGGTAATCCCTGTAAAGGCACAGACAAAGCCGCATGCTGATTTATCTGCGGAAATAAGTGCTCAGCGTAGTAACGTACACACACGGCTAGTGAGCACGCCCAGCTCGGACACAGGTGGGGATGCTTTGTATGCACCGAATGCCGCAGCCTCTGCCCTAAGCGTCCTCGAAATCCAAACCAGCAAAGAATGCGATTGCACTACAGAATAATCTGAGCCCTCATCAATTCCGACCACAAGGACATAGATCTGGAGGTATCCAGAACACGCCAGGACAGGCGGAAAAAGGGAAGGCGGTGTCCGTCCTGAACAGCCCCGGGCAGCCAGGTCGACAAAGCCCAGTGTCAACTCAGAACTTCCCCAATCAATCGGGACTGAGAAGGCCAGTGTCTGTTCGAAACCATCTCGGACGGCCAGGTCCGGGAAGACCAGTGGTTTGGAACGGAAACCCTAGACGACCGGGGCAGCAAAGAACGGTGGATTTCCAGAACAACCTGGTGCATTTAGGACAGCGAAGACCAGGGCCGGCCCGAAGCAGCCCACCACGTCCAGGGCAGCACAGGCTGACAACTGTCCAGAACAGTCGCGGACATCTAAGACAGGGAACGACGGCGGAGAACAGCCCAAGGCAGCCAGCACAGCGGGGACCAGTGCCAGTCCGGAGCAACCCAAAACAACCAGGGCAGCAAAGGCCAGTGCATGTTCTGAACAGTCATGGACAGCCAGGACGGGGAAGGCCAGTGTCTGTGCAGAAGGACCCCAGACAACCAGGGCAGAGAAGACCGGTTCTTGTCCAAAACAACCGTGGGCAGACAGGACAGGAAGAACCAGCGTCTGCACACATCAACCAGAGACAACCAGGACAGAGAAGACCCGTCCTCAGCAACCCTAGCCAACGAGCAAGAATAGCACCTGTCCAGAACCAACCCGGACAGCCAGAACGAGGAAGGCCAGTGTCTGTCCTCAACAACCTAGGGAAGTCAGGACAGCAAATAGTTGTGTCTACACGCAACAACGTTGCTGAGCCTCATCAAAAAATACCATTGTCTTTTAACAAAATCCCTTACGCCCAGCGAACGTAAGAGCGTTGCAATTTCCAGAACAATCCAGGGAAACCGGAAGATAAGAGGTCAGTGGGTTTAGAGAACAAACCCCAGCATCAAGGGCAGGGAAGGCCATTGTCTGTCCACGCCAACAAGATACAAGGTCATGAAAGACCCATGCCTGTTGCGAGCAACCCAGGACACCTACAAAGGGGAAGACCATCGTCTGACCAGAAGAACGCCGAGCATCCGAGACAGCATGGATCACTGTCAATCCAGAGCAACCTAGTGCAGCCAGGACTACAGCGGCCAGGACCAATTCATAAAAATCCCGGGCAACTGACACGAGGAGCACCAGTACGTTTCCGAAATGACCCAAGACGACCAGAGCAGCAAGGAGCACTACCTTTTCAGAACAACACCAGTCGACCAGGAAGACCAACAACTGTCCTCGACCACCTAGGACTGCCTCGGCAGCGAAGACCTATATCTATTCAGAATAGCCTCGTTTCCCAAGGACAGTCAGGGCTAGTGTCTACACAGAGCAATCGCGGAAAACCCTGAGCAAAGAAGGCCACTTCCGTTCCAAAACAAACCCAGAAAACCGAAACAGCAGAGGCCGTTGGGTTTCCAGAACGCTTCTCGACACCCAGGACACAAAAGGCCAGTATCTGTTCAGAAAAATATTGAGCAACCAAACCAGCGAAGGCCATTGAATCTCCTGAAGAGCCCCGGTCAACTGAGACAGAAAAGACCAGTGCCGTTCCTTAGCAGTCCTTCACAATCAGGACAGGGAAGACCAGGGTCGGTGCAGAACAGACCTCGACAGCCGGGGCAGAGAAGTACGGTGCCTGCCCAGAACAACTTTGGACGACCAGGGAGACCATTGTCTGACCAGAGTATCCGCAGACAACCAGAACGACAAAGGCCAGTGCCTGTTCAGAACAACCTCATTCGACAGCAGGTGAAAGACGGAGCTACCACGCCAAACGCCAGCGCCACTCGTCAACTGCGAGGCCACGCGAGCAGGCCGGGCAGCTTCTCCGTCCCGGGATCGCGGCCTCTTCGGGGAAGACCGCCCGATCCGGGGCGCCTCGCCCTCCAGCTGAAGCCGACAACGCCAACAAGAGACAGTTCGGTGCCGGTTCAGGCCCGGTGGCGGCGGACCGCCTTGACGGTAGCAGCACGTCCCACCAGCAGCACTACCACGATGGTGGTTCCTACGGGGACGGCGGGCCTACGGAGCACCGCTACGGCTACCAGGACGTTTTGGCCGGCTACAAAACGGAATCTTACGACCAATACGGCAACCCGCGTGGTGACCAAGACACCCTCTATCGGTCCATACAGCGGACACCAGACGCTTCCTCACAGTCACGTCAGCCTCCAGCCTCCAGCCGTCTCGCAGTCACGCGAGCCTCACCGGCCGCAGAGCACAGACACCAGCGGGCAGAGTCCGTCGGACGGGTCACAAGACAGCTCCGCTGACGCCAGTAGCGTGACCACCGCCACCACAGCTGACGACGACGCTGGCAGCGCCAGCGGATCTTCCGGCAACGTGACGGCGGAGGCGCCCAACGGCACTGCTGCTGACGTCCGGCAGCTACCAGGCGGCACTGCCGGAGCCGCTGTACCTGCTCGACCCCGGCCACCGCCGCTAGACCTCCCGGACGCGACGCTGGCGGCCGGGCCCGGGCGCGGCCACCGGCGTCAGAGAGCGTGGCTCAGCGGCTGCTGACGACGCCAATCCTCCGGCACCGATCGGAGATGTCGACCCCCATGCCATCACCAAGCCAAAGAATCGCTGGGTAGTTGTTACGCAGAGAAAACCAATGCCCAGGAGAGATGCCCTTGTTTCATTGTGATGCGTGCTGTCTCCAGTATATGGCTACTGCGGCTGCACGTCATATATTTTATTGTTGTTATTTAAAGTTGTACAGGTGGTCTGCGCCCTAGCAGTAGCTCTATGCAGTCCACTGAAGACCATGTGTTTCCTATTTGACTCATTAATTTTCCAGGAAGGTGAGACATGGGTTTATGTTAGGTTTAGAACCTCGTGTTTTGTCCTGGCTAGTTAGTTATCGGGTATTAAGGGGGCGCCAACGACAATGGCTATTTGTGCCCTTTGACCTGCCTGAACAGTCGCATTCCTTGATGAATATTGATACTTTTCGTCCATCCATCTCTGCTTTTGGTATGATGTATGGGAAGAATTGCTGAAGATTGTCCACGGGTGTAGAAATGTTTTTCATGTCCATCAACAGCCAGCAATCGTCAAGTGTTTTCGGACGCAGTGTGAGATGCCTCACCGCCTAATGTTATCAGTAATTGCATCATTCGTCAAAGTAATAGGTGCGACTGGACCACTGAGTTTGGACGGGACACGATTTGTGTTGCCGTCGGATAGAACGCGGGATAACGCACAATACTGGATAAGCTATGGAAGGTGGACAAAACAAAGTATAAATTGATTCGACGATCCTATTCTTATCTCAGCTTAGTGATGCAGCCAAAATTTCGTCCGGAGTACACAAATCGGCGCATGGGGGGTCGTCGTCACAACAGGGGGCTCACTTCGTTGCTGAAGGGGGCCCTCCGTTTGGATAGCAGGGGTCTTTATAGGCTTGACATTTCACTGTCATGCCCCAAGGGCCTCTTCTCATGTTTTAGAAACCCTACAGGTGTTTCACATGGCCAAAAGGCACCGGGTCTTCGGTCCCAGGGGGACCGGACACAATCAAGAAGAGGGCACAGCCTCGAGGCCTCCGTCCTCCCCTGACTACGCCACTGCCCTAAGTTGTCTCTTGAGTGTTCTCCGCACGCTGTTTCCAAATTTACGCCGCCCGATTATCACCAACCTTTCAAGTCGGTCAGGTCAGGTCAGCTCAGATCGACTTGGTACAGTGTAGAATTCAGTGTGCACCACTGACATTGTAGACGCTTCTACGCTTACAGTATCATCTAGAGACTTGATTCCGTGCTAAATCTGAAATGGACGAAGAATAACGTAAACGTGGGTTCAACCCATAGAATGACATTAGGTCCACCAAAACATGAAATGACGACTAATGTGCATGCATAGTGCATGTGCACAAAACAAAACGTCACGAAACCAAACCTTACTGTCCATTGTGATAGAGCTAAAAACCAGCGATTGGTCCTATTGCTCGTTATGTTGGTTTTCAACCATTTCAAATATTTTACCATATCCATGTCCCTGTCTAATACACCAAGAAAAAGCGCAACAGAATTTGTCCGAAACAGATAACATTCTCTGCATATGCACCAGATCAACCAGATTTCAATGCATTTGATATAATGGTCTGGTTTGCCTGATTTTCGACAATATCAGCATAGTGCTACGCTGTGTCTATGCCCAGCGACTTGTGCACATGTTCTGGAATGAGGGTTTTGTCTACATCAACCTGCATAGTTGCTCAATAAGAGCTAACTGCGAGGTCCCAGCGGACATTTCGACGCGCTTGACGCTCCATCTGTGGTAAATTTTTTGATATAATCTTGGCAAACAGTTCATACATGTTTCCAAAATGGGGGGTAAAATGTGTTTTTGTTCAACGGCTGAAAACATGCGTGCAAAGTGTGTACGAGATGGAAAAGCAAGTTGCTGCTTCTTTATGGAAGAATGGAGACAGCGTATTAATATCACGGGTGACATAATTGTTCGGACTGTTGTCCTCATCTGGTGCGCTAGCACGTGCAGCAGCGCGGGCGGTGAGCTGGAGTACAGAGGACACATATGCGCTCTTGTCCTCAGATGCCCGACCCTAAAGGGCCGGGACCTCAAATGCCAGTCAGAGGGGATTTGCGCCGATTGCCCCCTTCCCCCCTGAATTGATAAGGACCTCTTTGTCGGTCAGACACCACCAGTGTCGAACAGTTGGCTCCGTCTCGGTATTAGTCTGAGAACTCATTTTAAAAGCACTGAACAAGGCCAGAGCCCACGATTTCCATTGGTCAGGGTCTCTAAGCTAATGAGGGCCTCCCATGTGTCGGCCAGCTGCCCACAGTGCCCAACTGGTGGTCCTGTTTTGGCAAGAGCCTGGAGTCGGCCAGGGTCAATGTTCGCAGGGCCCGACGAGGGGGCGGGCCCGACGATCGAGGGCCCGATGGGAAGGCTGAAGGGCCCAAAGGGCCCTAGGGTCCGAAGGCTGGCTGTAGGTAATATTATGAACCTTCTCTCGTAAGGCCGTGACCTCAAATGTCAATCAGAGTGCCTCTTAGACGGATTGGGGACCCAGGTGCAATACAGGCTCCCATTTCGGCCGTAGACGACCAACACTACTTAGTCTGCTCCTTGTCGTTCTGAGCCTTGGAGACCCAGTTTACAAGCCGGGACGAGGCCAGGGCCCGCGATTTGCATTGATTGGGACCCCTGCAACAGCGAGGGTCAGGGGTCCACAGTGCCTATCATTGAATCCTGTATCGGCACGGGGTCACGTGTCGATCAGAAGAGTATTTTCTGAACAGAACTAGGGAGGAGATCCCGAATGTCATGCTCTAAGATGACCTGTTACTCGGACCCCAAGGATCACTGGGAGCTAAGGATTGGCGTGCATGCCAATCTTTCACTGGGCACTCTATGTGCATGAAATATAATCGGAATGGGAAAGGAGGAGATTTTTATATTTGACGTTAAGCGACATTTTTGTAAGCTGTGTCGCGTCATGTTTCCTCTGGCAAGAGGATGCCGGCAACTAACTGAAAGCACGCAACATTATTTTTTCCACGAGATTTTAAGCAATTCATTACATTTTTTCAAAGAGTTGTTAGTTTATTTCAGATCCTAAATTTTACGTAAGAAGGTTTGTTTATTTTCGGTCACAACAAAAAATCAAAATGGGTCGCTGCTCTCCTCAAAAGGACGACAAATCCAAAAAAGTTTTGGTTAGTGTGGAGGGGAGTGATGTCAAAATTTGGCCTCTCGGAGATAGGAAGAAAAAATGCGGCTCAAGTCGTAGAAAAGCCAGCCGCTCCAGATCTAAATGCTCGAGTGGATCCTCTCGTCCTAATAAGCCAAAGTGCTGCAAGCCAAAAAGGAAGCCAGCTCCAAAGTGCAAGAAAGGTAAGGAATAAGCATGTTACGTTGGGAGCCTTAGTAATAAGAGAAGTGCTCCATAATCGTAAAGATGCTGTTACTATCATCCAGTAGTTTATTCTCACGTCTAAGAATAGCAATCAAATGCCTGTCATGACGGTCCTCACAGTATGTCCAATTCAGCGTACTTGTTCTTTTGCACACCAAAAAGTTCTAATTAAAACAGGATTATGAAAGTTCAAATTAATCTTTCAAAGCTCTGCTAATTTTGAAATGGGTGTCAGCTGTCACATGACTTTCTGGTCAGCGGGCAGTCGGGAATGTGATAATCTGTGCAGCTTCGAAAGCTCTGCTGCCTAGTTGAAATAATCCAGGGATATTTTTGCTTAACAATCAGGTACATCAGCATGTCCACAACGCACGCGATAAACACACGCATTTGTGCAATTTAGTTCCAATATACACGCTCCAGGGGCATGAGTTCTGGATGGTTGTTTTGAATGCCAAGTTAGTTTTGCGCATTAGTTCGGGTGGACCTGCGTATTTTTGTGCAGATATTGCTGCTATCTAAAGCAGTTGATCCAAACCTGTTAGCAAAAATTAATGTGATTTTGTGTGGTTCCCACAGCTCCTGTGTGCGCGCCTCCTCCATGTCCACCTCCTGAAGCCGGGATGCTGGAGAAAGTCATGAGCATGTTCGGCATGTGTCCATCACCAAAATGTTAAATTGTAAAGCTCTGTCATCAAAACGGGTGTTCGAGAGCTTAGCCTGCTCGACGCAACGTTTGTCTACCGTTGGAGATAAGAATATTAAATGCTTGCGATTATAATGATGAAATTAGTGTCGCCATGTGTTGTTTGTCGGTCAGCGTGACTAGCACATTGAACAGAATGACCGCATGATGGAAATGCACTGAAAAACGACGACGCACTCTCCACATGCACTTTGAGCCCCTTCCAGTCATGCCACTACTACTTGCCATGTGTTGTTTATCTTGACAAATCGCAGTGTCACACTGGAAGACAATAACGAGCAGTAATAAAGTCAAAAGCCTCTGCGACAGAATGCGATTATATGAGAGTTTTCATCGCAATAAGACGACTGAAATTCATCTCCATTCCATTGAATACACTTACTGATATTCCTTTGAGATGTAACATGAAAGGACCTCATTTCTGCTCTCCATGTGACATTTTAAATGGGAACATTTTCCCTTGAAAGCGATGCGAAGTATCTGATGTTTGTTTTGTGCTGATACCACCGGGCAGTGCTGAGTTAAGATAAAAAGATCGACCTAAATGCACCGCTTTGACCCCGATGACTTAGCTGTCTGTCGGTTGTCTCCTTCGCCGGTGCCCAATAACGCCACTTGCATGCATTTTTCCACAAGTTTTCAGGTCTGCGTAAGTATATCATACATCCTATTCTCTTATTAACAGATTAAGGCTGAAACATAAGTCAATATATTTCACTTTACCAGTTCTTCGGGGCTTCTTTTTTTGCAGAGATAAGACGGTAGTAATAGCCTTATTCATCGGAGAAAAACCTGGATAATGGATATACAGTTGGAATGATATTTCGGCGACATGCCTTTATCGAAACGATAGCAGAAGTGTCTTCTGCTTTTGTTTCGATGAAGGCATATTTCCCAAATGTCAGCCCAACTTTATATCCATTCTCCTGGATTTCCTCCGAGGAATCAGGTTATTACCACTGTATTATCTATATGAGCAATGTTCCTCGCTAATGCACTGAACAGCTTCTATATTCATATTGCATGAACATACGCCGTTTAGTCTAACAATCTTTTGTATTATCCTCAAAAATAGATATACGAGCTACCATAAGCGAAGCACATCGACTGGAGACTCACAAATAAAAAAAAAACCGCAAAATATGCCAAACGAACGCCCCTTTAGTCCGAATAGCCATTCGCATGGTGGAACCCAACGAAGGACTGTAATTCGAAGCATAGGGGACTTTTTTGGCAAAGTTATTCTTATGTTGTTTTCATATGTGTCTTACGTCAAAGCATTTTATATACGATTAACTATGTACAAAGCCAGAAAAGTGTTAGAATTGAATTACAACTGTAGAATTCAAGCCGCTCTCAGATTAACAGTAGGATGCTTGGTTTTACCAGTAGATGTGCCCAAGGCGATTGCTGATGCCCCCTCTAACAGCGGAGGTGAAAAGCGTTCCTCCAGCCGTGTTTCAATCTCTTCAGGAAACTGAACTGCAAAGGCTTCCTTTGAAAAGGCTGAAGACTTTATGAATAGGAAGCATGCGGCAGGCTGGAACGACTAAATAACAATGCTTTCTGTTCACGCAATTTTTTTCAGCCACGTATCTCCCATCTTTGAAACCGGGAGGGGACGACTTCAGTCTTGTTCGGAATACATCACACATACCTTCGTCGACATAAGAAAGACCTCATTACTGGAGGTGTCCTCCTCCCCCCCCCCCCCCCACCCCTCCTCAAAATCGATCCGCTGCCGGCGTCACCATGGTTTGTCATGAAACCTACCAAGAAAAAAGTTGCTAGTTGCGGAATCTGCATCTTCGTCGAGGAGGATTACCTGCCTTGAACACTCATGCCCAGTATGGCACGTGCCTTATTGTTGAGATTTTCAAGCCCGTAAAATTAAAGCGATCAAATCGCCCGCTCATTTCTGTCAAAATCACATGTGAATGAACATACTTCTCTTCGCGGCTCAAAATTGTTTATAATGGTTTGTTCCCACGTCTCGAGAGGAAGACAGCATAAGAAACTAATTTTAGACATCCATGGAAGTGATGTAAAAATATTTCCATTGGGCGATAAGAAAAAGTGCGGATCGACCAGGCGAAAGTCTAGGCCCCGTTCCAAGAAACCCCACTGCGGCTGCAAGCCCAAGAGATCAAAGTCCCGGAGGAGGAAGTCCGCAAAACGCCACGGATGCAAACCCAAGCCCAAGCGACGAGTGAAGAAGAGGAAGTGCTGAGGGTTGAATATGAAATATGGCACAGCTCACCGGATCAGGTTTTGTCAGTGCCACCAAGAGTTGTGTGATGAAGCATTCTCCATATTGCATCGCATAAAAGCTTAAAGCAATTTACAATACATGTTGTCTTCAGGTGTATAACGTGTTGATACGCCCTGGCCGGAGCAATAAACCTAAAAGATGATATGCCTATGTTCTAGAAGGGCAGAGAATTGTCCCGCAAGGAAAGCAAATATCTTAATTACAATTGGTTTAACAACCATAGTGCAGCAGCTGAGATGAATTAGCCCCTGTTCAGTTTACAGGTCATAACGAACTCGTCTAGAAAACATAGTTTGGTTCACTTCGCACTCAAAAGACACGGTGATATGCGTGTAACAAGGCTATAGGTACTTTGACGAAGGGAAACAGTCAAACGAATTGGAGATTTCGATCTAAAATCCAGCCTTATCTTAGCAGAGCCGTTCATGCCAAACTTCCTTGGAATGACTGCATTTTCACGGATACAAATTAATGCTTAGCAATATGGTTTTTGTTTTGAATGCTTCCATGTCATCTACTTTACGGGCGTGGCCTCCACAATGTGAAGGTGATCACCTAGTACACTTATAGAAACATGTTGCGCTTCTGTTTAGACCGAGACCAATCGGGCCCATTCCACTGGTCTGACTTTCACATCATTTCACTGATTTCACTCGTCAGCTTCATTACTGAGCATGAAGATCGCTCGTTCCGTGTCATTCAGGATCAAAACCATTACAGGTCATAGGACATGGGATAGCCGAAGATGGCATCACGCTAAAATGATAAAACGTGTGATGGCATGATTATGACTTTAAGAATTAACTTGTGGCTCAGCTTACCTGTATTAAAAACGGTAAGAATGCGTAGTCACCCCTACTGGACGTACCAGTACATTTGCTAAGAACGAGTTTGTACCTTTGCCCGGGCTTGATGGGTCGACGGTGGTACATCGTTTAAAACTGTGTTCAAGTCGAGATGTTGATATCATTTTGTGCAGGTTGTAAGCGTATGGATGTTTTTCTGAGTAAAACATGACAGCGAAAACACAGTCAAAATTGTTTCTGTACGTTCGTGCCACCACATTTTTAGCTCTTGGCCAATCATGTCGTGTGTGGAATCGGGGTTCGCACCGCCCCTTGTAAACTTCTGTGGGTAGCGTCCATCGGAGCTTTCAGTCATTAACAAGACCTTAAGCAAACAGCCCGCACGATACAAGCCGCCGTTTTTTCCAAAAGTATTGGATAATAGTACTTTGTGCGAGAAGAATAAGCACCATTTAGATATAAATGAAACATTCAACAGCTTAACTAATTTCAAATTGAAAAACAGTTACTTGTAAAATTACGCTTTTACTAACGTTTGGTATCTGCTATCGTTTGATGAATAGGAAGCAAGTAGTACAGACCACGTGATTAGCTTACTAGCTGCTAAGCCGATGGCCAATTCTAGGACCAGTTAAAAAAAGGCCGTGAGAAACCTGAAATTTTGAAACCGAAAAAGAGCATGGGCCGGCAACAGATTCAGATCCCTGCAAGTAGGCGTCACGGCGACATGATAGCTATACTGACAGAGGAGAAATGGACAATCGCACGGGCAATGTGTGCAGCTTGTGAAGACCAATCGTGTGGTAACCTTGCATCCACCCATTTTTGGGTGTATTCACGCAAGATATCAGCAACCAGAGCCTAAAAAGACGTGTAGTCTGCTGCAAGTTGTAGGCACATATACCGATTACAGCTCGTCAACAAATTTCAGAACTATCTGATCCATAAGCCTTCCAGTAACGATCTAGAATGCAGCCATGTCCATAACAGTGCAACTATTCTCAAAAGCAACACACCGTTGTTTTAACCGAGACTAATCGGGCGGTGCCAGCTGCATGGGGTATAACGCGGTTCATTGTGACCAATGTCCACCCAAGACACTCTTGCGTTTTTACAACGCACTGACGCCGACTCAAAAGATGTAATCTGGTTCTCTCCATCCGCCTCGTTGATCAGAACTGCCCCGCTTAATTACAAAGTAGCCGACACACCCCTACACCAAACGCGATTAAAAGTGTCGGGCCTTAGCAGGTCTAAAGCCTAAGCAAAGCAAAGCCTTAGCTTAGCCAATGTTACAACGTCATTTGCAAATATGCAGCTGGACGCTAAATCAGCGTTCCTTCGAATCCCAGATGTAGTCGCTTACAAGCCCATGAACTAGGCTAGTAACCCTAAACTAACCCTAAGGTAGCTTTATTTTGTAAACTAACCTTTACAAAAATACACTTTGTAAAGTGTCATTTTGTACGCTTAACTAACCCATAGGGTTAGAAACGTTTCAAAAAGTGGGGTGCCAAGCTCGGGGTGTACTTCAGCAACTTTTTCTGGGAAGCGAACCCGATGACCGGGAGGGGGTGGGGTAGGGATGGATATTGTTATCGCCATTTATTCAAATGTCATGGCTGTTATGCTAGATATGCATCTAGAGCTGTTTCTCGCTGGTGCACAATCTTGCCTATTCGATTCATCTGTCATTTGGCAAATAAGGCTGTCCAGCTTCCCAAGATTATTCGTTCATTTTAAAACTGTCTTTCCTGGGGACGTGGAATTCCACGGATAGGCATTTTGGGTCATTGAGGTAGTATCTGGCTCTGCAGTGTAGATGCCAAAATACGGCCTGGATATAGGCTGGTAAGAATTTTGAAAGTGGTTTGATGGCTGACAGTGCGACAGATTTTTCATGCGCCTTCATTTCGCTGGCTGCTTTTCAAGAGACTTGTAGCAGCATTTTAGGCGGAAACAAATTCGGGAGCTTGAAAATGCCAGGAACAACGTGAAAATCCTTAAGACTGGAAATTATCTTTTAAGAACCAAGCCACATAACACGGCCCATCTGTCATATGTTCCTTATCTGGGCCCTGCTCCTGTCCGCCGTCGGTGGCCACTGCCCTGGTCGGATGATCATACCCTATTATACGGTCTTATGTCTGTGTCTTAATATGCAGCAAATATGCATGGATATCATAGGCGTAGGAACGCTTCAAAAATTGGGGGGAGGGGGCAAACTTAGAGCTCACTTCTGAAACTTTTTCTGGAAAACAAGCCCGATGACCAGGGGAAGAGTAGAGATGGCGGTTATCGCTATTTATTCAAATGTAATGACTGCTATTCTAGATATGCATCTAGAGCTATTTCTCACTGGTGCACACTCTTGCCTACACGAATCATCTATATAATTCGGGAAATAAGGCTATCCAGCTTCCCAAGTTTATTCGTCCATTTCAACGTTGTCTTTCCTTGGGAGCCGAAATTCCACGAGCGGGTAGGCATTTTGGGACATTGAGGAGGCATCTGTCCTCGTCAGAGCATAGGCTGGTGAATATTTTGAAAGTGAATTAATAGCTCACAGTACAACAAATTTTGCATGCGCCCTCATTTTGCCGCCTGCTTTTCTAGAGATAAGACTTGTCGCGGCATGTCAGGCGGAAACAAATTCGGAAGCTTGAAACTGTCAAAAACCATGCGACAAAAGACATAGAACTGAAGATTATTCTTTGAAAACCAAGCCACAGAATGAAGGCCCTTCTGGCATATATTCCCTGTCTGAGCCCTGCTCCCGTCCGACGTCGGTGGCCACTGTCCTAGCCCGGCTGTCTCCGAATGACTAACCGCGAACTGAAGGTATGGCTGCTTTGTTGCACATTTCTGGGTCAGCATCGCTACTAATTGGGATGTAAAACATGTGTTGGACACCTGCAAAAGTACCTTTTTCCGACTTATCTTCCCTTACACCACACCACCCCAGAAAAATGCCACCGGTTAGCTGCCTACTTTAGGTATGAATTGGCCCAACGGACATTTAATTGGCCATCATTCAACGTAGATAACTTGATCTGCTTTTGTGTGCAGGCAGGGGGTAGCCAGAGCCTTGCTAAGAAGAACAAAGGGTTGACAAAATGGTGATCCTCCCACAAAAAATCCCCGGATATAGTTTACTTGTTAACAAGGGATACAGTTTTTTTCGTTTAGTTGTTATTGTTACGTTGTAACCAGAGCAGAAACCAGAAGCTACCGTGAAATAAATTATGTTTACATTGTTATCACGCGCCCGGACGGCTGCCTAGATACCCTTCGCTCGGGTGACGGATCAGCTTGAGCCCGCTGAGATCTCGGGAACTAAAAGAGCTAGAGGCACCAAATCCACAGGGTGTGTTAGCCTGTACGTGAGCTCACTTAGTTGAAAGTTTGAGGTTTCTAGATTATGACTTTCGGGTTGAATAAGGTCAAACAAGGTCAAATTTTAGGTTGGTCTCTTAAGTGCCCCAGAACCTAGATAGCTGTTTCTTAGCAAAAGGTCATATGTTCAGTTAAAGCCAGTAACCTTGTTTGACCTTTTGAAAGTCATGGTAACCAAAATCATATAAGATTGTTCTGAGTTTTGCATTTGAATAAGCGAGAAGGACTATGCTAGGCAGTATGTTTCTTAAAACAAAATGTTGACATAGGTCATTTTAGGTCAATGACCTATTCTGACCACTAAGAAGTCCATGGACAATGGATAATGCGGTTCCTGCCATCAACAAACTCGAAATCAGCACAAGGAAACTATCCCATACAGCAAGCCCCAGAGTAATAAAACAGGTTGGTTTGACCTTGGTCTGACCTTTATATCTAACCTGAGGTCAGCGTAATTTGTTCATTCAATATTTGTGTTGCCTACGAAAGCATCTCAGGGATGCTGTCCTTGTCTAACACTCCATTGCTGCATCAGATTGAACGATTCCCTAGAAGTTGACCTTGCGCGAACCATGGCCTGACTTTGACCTGTCATAGGTCAGCGACCTTACAAAGTGCATCTAAATTTTTATACCAAGCGATCCGCTACTCAATTTTCTACAACTATGGAAAACATGGCGTGGCTGCGCCGCGCCGTTCGAAAACCATTCTGAAAAACCTTCGGAGACCGAGTCAATTTGACCCCCACCCGAGCGCGTGATAAGGTCAATGAGCTGCAGAAATCAAGCGTTTAACGACCGCATGGAATAAATTACCGGTGTCATTAATTTGAAATGGCATAGTAGACTCTTTCTAATTCGATCGAATTCAGAAGGTTTTTCGCAATGTAATGTTCTAATGTTCTACAGACATTGAGGACATCGCGAAGGTAGACTGTAGATCGATATGTTTGATCGAAATTTGAGGGTGAAAATTTTGGTTGTAGATCGAGTGGTCAACACTGTGTATTGACATTGCCAAGCCATGTTCGTCCGGAAATATTTAACATTCAGTCAGAATCGATTAGTGATACAATTTATATAGCGTGGTTTTTAACATGCGCGCTCGAAAATCTTAGCAACGAAAACCTCGACAGCAGGCGTTGCAGCCTCCATAGTCCGCGGCGTGCTGAGTGGTTAACTTTTCGCCACGGTCCACCGGTGGGCAAAAATTATAATGGTTCTAAGATAATTACCTTTGGAAACTTGAATCGGTTAGTAATAAAAGTTAGGTGACATAATTTGAGCATGCCTACTCGTAAGTCTTAGTTTTAAAAAAAATCGTCTCCAGGCGTTGCAACTTCCGTAGGCCGCGTAGCGTCGGCTCAACAGCTAATACTGAGCCGTGGCCAACGGATAGACGAAAAAGATGGCGCTTCTGAAAGAGCTACGTTTGAACGCTCCAGGACATCAAATCTTACATCTACAAAGCAATCTGGGCGCATATTTGACGTGTGCGATTTTTAGACTCATGATGAGACCGGATTGGCCCTTAAAGCACCGCGAGATAGTGCCGGAATCTGGTGGTGGAACTGGAATAATAAAGGTAGATTCTCTATTTTTCGTGTTTCTGTAACTATTAAATTGTCCAGAAGATAGACTAACACGGCGCCCGCCGTCTGATGGCACTTGCAGTGGCCGAAGTCGTTTGGTTTTACAAAAGCTGCAATCCAGCTGCTGTCCTTGCTCTTGAGGTTGCGGGCGGGCGGGTATGTTCAAACTTTTGGTGCACCTTTTTCACTAATTCATTCTGAAAAATGAGCGTTCTTCGGCCAACATGGAATGGCCTTGTTCTTTTTTTTAACATAATTTCGACCTACTCTATTCAGCAATAATGAGATCTTCACTCTACTCAACAATAATGAGCCCTTATTTATCTACTTAACAATAATGAGGCCCCTTCCGGGCAAGGGGCCCCCCGAGTGGAACACCAAAGGCACATTACCGGTTCCGGTCAAGAGCTGAAGGTTCACCCCGTCCCATCGCGAAGCGTCTTCTGGGTGCCATTCTAGCGACACAGGGCGGCATCTCCTGGTCGATCCGGTGGCCATTGGAACGATATATCATATCACATTGTTCCCCTTCTTCACACGGGAGGCCTTCTGACCCACGCAGTTGGCCCCGGATCAACACAGGAACCCTCATTGACGCAATAACATCGCTGATCGCTAAAGGTGGTCCAATAATTGTTATACAGGCTCCAGTTCCGTGTTTTTCTGTTTTCTGCAGAGATATTGAGGAATCCCTGAACGTAGATTGTAGATGAAATGGGATCCTAAGCTTGTATTAAGATGGCTTACTCATGTTCGTCTTAAAATGTCTAAGATTCAGTCAGAATTGATTACTGATAAAAAAAAACTATGCAATATGGTTTTGAATACACGCGCTCGCAAGTCATGGCAACAACAGGCTGAACGCCCGGCGTTGCAGTCTCCATAGGCCGCGTGGCGGCGGCCTGCGGCTGAAATGCTAAGCGATGGTCAATAAGCAAACAAAAAAAATGACGCATCTTAAAGAAGATGGCTGGTGAACTAGGTAAACCATCACGTATATTTAAATGTGGTGCAAGAGTAAGCTAAACACAACCTTGATCTGAAAAGTGGGGGGCCAGTTAACACTGCTGGCCTCCCCAGCTTGAAAAAAGGGAGCCATGGCCCACCTGCCCCCCCCCCCCCCCCTGTTCCTACGCCCATGTTCAGGTTTCTCTGTGCACTGATAGCAGCGGCATGATTATCTTCCGGTATTTGAAAAGGTCTTTGTTTAATTTAATACCCTCGCCCCATAATTACGGCTGGCCACTGTTGTCTATTCCGGCGCAGACGATGCATTACTAGCGTCGTAGAACGCCTTACTGAAGGCCGTGCCAGATTCTGCGGCCGGTTATGTGTGTTGTGGCTATCGGGGCAATTGCTGCTTCGTTGAAATAAAACAGTTATTGTCACGAGATGTTAATATGCTCCTTTTTACTCTATGGTGTATTCGTAGATAATTGTTATGATGGGATGTGAACTTGATTGGGACCCTGGACAGGTTGATTGGACTCGTTCTGTAAATTAATTTTGTGGAATTAAGGTCTTATGGAGGACTGCATTATCGGAAAGCTTATGCAGCATTGAGGAGGACATACATTTGTCTTGTTAGTTCAAGTCCGACATAAGATCAACTCCACCCAGACAAGATGCAGCAGCCAGTTGGTCCAGTGGATTCAGTTCGTCCATACAAACTAGGTGAGCTGTTGGAAATAGAGGTCAAATTTCAAGGCACATCACATTCATGGAATATTGGGTAGAGCAGTTCAGTTTCACCAAAATGGATGATGTTAAAGCTGGCTTACATTGAGATGACTGGGAATGCATATGCATTGGGTTCAATCAAAAACTTAAAAGGAAAAAGGCATTTGAATATATCTAGATGTCCACTGTAAGTTTTAGACATACTCATTGATTCTCTGTTTTGTTTTTGGTAACCTTCACTTATGTTATTCCAAGACTCACCAAGTTATGTGTATTGGAATATGTTTGAAAAAGTGATTGGGTTTCATTATCATGCTTAAAGTTGAATGCTAAATATAACACATCATGTGTAGTTTGATGCATGCAATGCAATTGCAAAGTGACTTCTGCAAATGAGACACTTAGAAACCAAAAATTTGCTGCTTATCTACATCAAATGTGTGTTGTGGTCTTGACTGTGAATAGTTTATCATTCCTGCTCTTGGTTTTCTGATATGCCATCACATTTTAGTATTTGTGATAAGTTTTCTTTTCTTTTCAGCCCACCAGATTCTTAGCTTGACAGGCATCAACCTGCAGAGGCAGAGCATCATTGTGAGTGCAAGAGTGCATTATATTGAAAAGAATGTTTAGGAAGGCTTCATGAATCATAACACCTGTGATAAGGTTACTTTGGCTGAGACAGGAGCATGTAGTGCTAGCCTATCCTTTGAGAATGGGTTAAAATAAATTCATAGGTAAAACTGACATCAGAAGATTGGTGGCATGATGCCTGCTTACTAGCCAAAGCCTCACATTGTTTTGATTGCATCTTGTTCACACTGAGTGGCTGATGGCTGTTGTGTTTCTGCATTGCCAGGGCTTTGTGGAGCTGACAATAGCACTCCAGACAGACTACTTGCGCCAGGTCAAGCTCAACTGCAAGCAGTGCCGAGTCTATCGCGTCACCCTGAATGATGACTTGGAGACCAGCTTCAGTTATTGTGATCCCACACAGGACATCATGCAGGGCAGCTCCAAGTAAGAGGAGTTCAGTTGGCCTAAGCCTGTTCTTTATGGTTGCATAGTTTGAAACATGTGTGGTTTTAAAATTATTTAGTTGTGTTGGTAAAAAGTGGTACATTGGCATTATTTGTTCATTGTAAAGTGTGTGGTCCTCCCCTGCGGCCCTAACGTCGCGCGCGCGCGCCGACAGCCGCGACCTCGAGTCGTTCGCCGAGGCGCACCAAGCGGCCGTCAACTCGACCGACCCCGAGTACGGCCGCGGCGAGCTGGTGGTCGACATCCCGGTGGAGGCGCAGGACCTGGTGCAGGACGGCCAGATGCTGCGCATCGGCGTCGAGTTTAGCCTCGAGACGCCTACGGCCGGCGTACACTTCGTGCTGCCGGAGGGCGAGGGCACGTTGGCCGAACGCGGCGCACACATGTTCACCTACGGCTTCGAGAACTCGTCGCGGCTGTGGTTCCCGTGCATCGACAGCTTCTGCGACCTGTGCACGTGGAAGCTGGAGCTGACGGTGGACGAGAGCATGACGGCCGTGTCGTGCGGCGACCTGATCGAGACAGTGTACACGCCGGACATGCGCCGTCGCACCTTCCACTACCATCTGGCGCTGCCCACCGCCGCGCCCAACATCGCGCTCGCTGTCGGGTCAGTGGCGGGTCACGGGGTCACCGGGGGTGGGGGCTGACGGCGGGGTCACGCTTACGGGTCAGCGGGGTCACGCCGGCGGAGAGGGCGCTGAGGGAGGGGCCGGCGTGACTGGTGTAGGGGAGCACCATCTGAAGGCTTGCGGCGATTGTGGCTGAGCCGGCGATCCCGGGACGGGCTCACTCTACCCGCCAGCCAATGCCGGCGCTGCTGAGGTACGCCCCATGATAGTGTCGCTGATGTGGTGAGTTCCCATATGCGCGACTTCCATCATATTGCCCTGCGCCGCATGATCCACGTCGGTATTGCCCGTCGTGGTAGACGGCGGGACGAATCATGACGGTGAGATGTCACTGCTTGTGAGTGTTGAGCGTGTTGACGAGTGGCTTCCCTGTCGAGTGGCAGTTATGAACGTGAGCTGGTTGAATGAGCAGCAAGTCTTGACTGGCTCGTCGCGGCGCGCCGTGTTTCAGGCCGTTCGAGATATTCGTTGACCCGCACATGAACGAGATCACCCACTTCTGTTTGCCGCACCTGCTGCCCCAGCTCAAGCAGACGGCCAGGTTCATGCACACCACCTTCGAGTTCTTCGAGGAAGTGCTCGCCAACAGGTATGGAGTGGCGTCGTGGTGCGAGACACTGCGGTTGCCTCTATCTTGCCTTTGATGTTTTTGCTCTCGATGTCTTTTGGGCGGATGAACACGACCCCTGTGACGCCTTTACTGTGGCGCTCTTTGCGTTTGTTCGTTGTGTAACTTTTATATACGTGACCAGCACTCACAGTTTTCTATTCTGATGAAAACAGATGCCTACTTTTCTGCAAAGTTCGTTACGTATTTTTGGCCAACGTCTTGATATTTGGCGCCGCTTTGCTCCAGGTTTCCCTACTCGTGCTACAAGCAGGTGTTTGTAGACGAGGCATACGAGGACGTCTCGTCGTACTCCACGATGAGCATCCTCAGGTAGGTACCGGAGAGTCCCTCGCGTGGCTCCGCCGGCGGTGGGGCGAGGTAGTCTCGGGTCCTGGCTCCGCCATGCCCGCCGGGTGGGCCCGTACGCCGCAATGAATGTGAGCAGCAGCGACGCCTGCGTTCCGCCTGTCTGGAACATTGTGTTTTCTTGAACAAAATGCGCTACACTTTGGATAAGAACGAGCCTCCACGAAATTTGACAGATGTTTAAACGTATGTCTTGAACAGACCAACCACCACGGTGTAGGCTAAGGGGAATGTGACGCCGTTTTGTGCCTGGTGTTTTGATTTTTTATTCAAATGCCGCCATCTTGCGACGGTGGCTTCGGACAAGCCGTCTCCTCTTCGTCTTCGTCGCAGTCCGATGTGTCCGCCGCCTTCTTCGGCCAGCCCTCGAGCTCGCCCAGCTCATGTGCGGGGTGTTCCGTTGCAGCGTGAACCTGCTGTGCCCGTCGCAGGTCATCGAGCAGGTGTACGTGACGCGACGCTGCTTGGCGCTGGCACTGGCCCGCCAGTTCTTCTCCTGTTTCATCTCCCTCACCGGCTGGAGCGACGCCTGGCTCACGTTGGGCATCAGCCACTACCTCACCGGCCTCTACGTCAAGAAGTTCTTCGGCATGAACGACCACCGCGACTGGATGTACTCGGTGAGGGCCGCCGCTGCGGTGGCGGCGTGCGATCCAGCGGCGGTGGCAGGCAGACCGGACGGCGGGGTCACGGCAGGAGCGACGCCCAGACTCGTGCCAGCGCGTGTGGTCATTCGCTCGCGACGGGACACTCCACAGGCCGGTGTCTCGCATGGTAAACGTGCTGCTGACACTCAACGTCAGACCTGGGTGCGGTGGCGTGGAGGCGCGTGGAGATTGTCGTGCTGGCGTTGTTTCATTGGACGGAGGCTGCCCGAAGTTCGCTGACAACACTTGGGGATACCTCCCCTCCCCTCCCCACTGCACCCGCAATACCCGTGGAGATCGTAAGATTGTGCTGTGATGTAGAGGTTGACCTTGCGTTTTCGAAAGTTATTTCTTCGAGACGGCTCGAGTCCTTGCTGCACCTAGCTCCCCTCCTTCATCCTGCGGGTGATGAAATCTCTCCCGTCGCAATGCCCTTGCCAAGGACTCCACTGGCAAACGTGTGATCCGGCGTCGTGTGTTGACCCATCGGCGAACGTATGCATCACCAGCTACCGTTGTGATCACCACATGCACCAGCCGGACCTCGCTACCCTCACCAGCCACGTGTTTGTGGTCGGATACGGACCGCGCCACAATATCGCCACCCGTCGCCGTGTTGGCGATCACTACAAACAAGCAGCGGCGTAACGGTCTTTGTTCTCGCCGCCCGTTCCACGTCGTCGGCAAAAGTGACTGTTAAGGTGCCACCATCACCTGCCACGCCCCCGCTGATCTCGCTACCGGTCGGCGCCCTGACGCCGCGCCCGGGCCGCCGCCCTGCAGGAGATGCAGGAGGTGATCCAGTACGAGCAACGGTACGGCCCCATCGTGCTGGACAACAGCGGCACGCCGCCCACCGGCAGCCACGCGGCGCCCACCTTCCATCCGCTGCACTCGCAGAAGGAGTTCTACTTCCCGCTAAGGTGACGGCCGCCGCCGCTGACCACCCGAGCTGACTGCTGACTGCTGACTGCTGACTGCTGACTGCTGACTGCTGACCGCTGACTGCCGACCGCTGACCGCCGACTGCTGACCACTGACTGCTGATTGCTGACCACTGACCACTGACTGCTGACCATTGACTGCTGACTGAGCGTTCTGACTGCTGACTGCTGACTGCTGACCACTGACCACTGACCACGGACTGCTGACCACTGACTGCTGACCACTGACCACTGACTGCTGACTGAGCCTGC